TATCTTTCTTTCTTTTTAAAAATTTTTTAAAAATTTTAAAAAAGAAAGAAAGATACAACAATCACAGTAATTCCTTGAACTTTCAAAAGGAGAGAATACAAGTGAGGCCACCAGAGCTGGGAAAGGGGGTGGGGGGGTGTTGGGGATAGATTATTTTTGATTAAACAATGCCTTATATTAATCCAGCTAGTTCAATTTTCAAGTTTATCATTTCCTTGCCCATTTCCTTTGCTACTTCTCTTTTCAACATACATTCATTTCAATCAAGGAACCAGGAGTAGCTACAAAGAAACAAGTGATGTTGGAAGCCACTGGCTAAAATTAGATTATCAGTGACATTTACTTATATGTTGAAGACTGAAATTTCAGAGTACAACATTTTCTCCATAAAAGAGACACTTCCCTATCAATGGAATGCAGACTTTTTTAAAAAAATCAAATTACATCCATATTACATTACTGGGTAGTAAAACTGACCCAAAATAGAAAGTGAAACTGTATACTTTTTCTGCCAAGAGAAAGGCTAAAGACAAAATTAAGTAATGAACTTGTTTTCATAGGATTATTTTGACTAGTGCCTTCTTAATTAGGGGAAGATGTTTGTTCAAGAGAGGCAGTAGTACCAAAGAGGAAGGAAGTATAATGCAGCGGACATGAGGGCAGGGAAGGGAGTCTACATTTTCTCCCACCCAGCCAGTGTAACACAAATCATCAGGGACCAAGACAGTTTAGAACTTATGGGCATTGTTTCTTTTCTGTTTTCAGCACACTTGTACAGTTTAGGTGTATACAAGGAGTTTCATAAGGCACTTTTCCTGATGTTTCCCTCCAACTTTCTTACAAAAAATCCAGAGTATATGCATGTCTCATTAGAGTGTGTGCACATCTAAGTCTGTGCACATCAGAATGTGTGCATTATATCATTCGTGAAAACTTGTACCGACTACATCATCAATAATTTACAGACATGTATCATATCCCTTCTCTCCATCTCTATCTATCTGCATTACAAGGAGCATCTTGGAGCAGAGTACCCCTGTTCTAAAGCACCACTGCCCCAGTCCAGTCATTCATTCCTACTGCTGGTCAGGAGTGTCCATCACTTTGCAGTGCAAACATCCACACTGGGATGCAATGTTCTGGAAAGCCCTCCTGCTTCTCCTGGCCCAGTACCACAAGCCCACTCTTCCTAATGAGGCTCTGGAGGATGTCCATGTCCCGAGTCACACTGCTGTCAGAGAGATCGAAGATACAGCCCTCCCGAGCCACATTGTCCTTCAGAATGATGACGCCGTTCTCTTTCAGACCATCTTGGCACCGGGAAAGGAATGCGAGAAGGTCCTTATCAGTCAGGTACCCTATAGGCGGGGCCAAGTAGAAGGGGGAACAGGATGAACAGGGAGGGAGGTGAATGGAAAGAACACAGGGCTAAGAATCAGGAGACCATTTGTTCATTCATCATGAATTATTTAATAGGCCTGTTTTAGTTGCAGAAGGCTTTGAGAATTTAGATAAGAGTATACACATGCTCTTTGAAGAGGCTCAGTCCCCTGTGTGTATTTTCTACCTGGCCTATCTACTTCAGAAGCATGAGATAAACTATTGTCCATCCCATGAGTCCCTCCATGTCCCCTGGACAACCCAGCTCTATTATCACTCCTCCGTGTCTCCTACACACACACAAACACATACACGCACACGCCAAAATATAATTCACTGCTATCTCATTTCCTGAGACTTAAATCTAAGAACACCTAGTTCTGCCAATAAATGGAGATTAACCTTTTGGGGGCCTTACTTTTTAAATTTTTTAAGTATTTACATTTCAAGGATTTAGATTGGTCCAAAGGCATTCACTCCATCTTTAAAGGTAGGAATTTTCAGGCTTGTACAGAGGATGTTAGGGGAGAAATTTGGAAGACCAGAGCTTTTTGGAAGTCCACATGACACCTAAGCTTAGCTAACTGCTCTAAGCACAATGACAGCTTCATCTCCCCTTGTGTCCTCATTAGCCCCAGGTGTTGTCTCTCTAGCTGAGAAGGGGAGAAGGGCGGAGGCAATGTCATGCAGGACTAACCAGAGACCCACTGAATCCAGATGACATCGTATCTCCCAAAGGGGGGTGTGAATTCCTGCAGGCCGTAGCAGTGGTAGCTTTCTACCTTGTCCCCTTTTATCTGCAGGTAGTTCTGGGCTTCGAGGAGGAAAGATTCCATCATGTCCACCAGTTCCACGCTGTTGAAAACTGGCAACAAGACGTGCTTGCTGACCCTTCCTATCCCAGAGCCGCAATCCAAAGCGCAGTCTGTTCCAGCTCTCCCGGGCCCCTGAAGAAAGGTACCTTGTGGAATATTCCAAGTACGGAGACCCATCCTGAGTCTTGGACACTCAAATTACCTCTTTAGGTCAACTTTATTTAGGTCAACTTTATACAATAAAATGTGCCCTTTTACATGTACAATTCAATGAGTTTGGACAAATGTATATAGCAGCTATGTGTTCAGTACCACAATCAAGATATATAACATTCAATTACCTTTTTCAAAAAAAAAAAATGAACATTTTTAGTCCTGCTTTCTTTATTACACCTGAATATAGATCTTTAAAGGAAATGAAAACTAAGATTTTTAAAAAATAATATCTTAGGTTTAAATACTTTCTTCAAGAAATAGTCCATTGATATCCCCATGATGATAGAACTCTGATGACTGTAAATTTGGGTCAAATCTGCACTATAGGTTATTACTTTGTTAAAAAGAAAACAAGCCAAGTAATGATAGCTTTTCTGAGTTTTAAAATTACTTTAAAAATTTAAACTTGATGGAAACATTTCAATTCATATTGAGACGACTGAAATTTTATTTTTCCTAAAATGATTTGGGGGGCTCTAAATTATCTGCTCCTCTTGTATGAGGGAAGGGTAAATTTTGGGATCTGAGTTGAGGAATATTTATTGTTCCATTCTCAGGCTAGGGTTTTATTTTCAAGCTAGCCCTGATAGCACATAGCACATTCACGTGGATAAAAGGTGGTTTCAGCAAAGTTTCTTTGTCTCCTTTAATGCTAAAAATTGTTTTCTGCCTTTTGTACCAGAAACTACATAATTTACTGGGCACAAAACCCTGAAAACTGTTTTTTTTAAAGTAGGTCTGTGCATTAAATTAATTGAGAGTGAGGGGATGGGAAGGTGGGGTGGGGGAGGGAAAAATCAGCCAATGAAAACTTTCTCAAACTTCCTTCAATAAAATGTTAAAAATGTTCTGGTCTAAATTATCTGGTCATAATTAGAGTGGCTGCTGAATAGGTTTCGTGCTAGAAATTACAGTAACAAGATACTTGGAATTGCCAATCAAGATCTTAAGGAGAAAGCCTACTCTTGATGTCTCAGGAACTAAGGATTAAAAAAAAACATTTGGCTAAGGATCAAAGGTGAGGTACGAGCCGAGGGAAACATCAGAAAAGCTGCTTTTCGGTTCACCTAAAAGGCCTTCCTTATGCCAGAAAAGTACAATGAAGAACAAAAAGTGAAGCAATTGTGGCTTCTTTTCAAATGGAATAATAATAACCATGATTATTGAGTGCTTTTATGTACATCTATAATAATTATAATAATAAAAAAAAAACTCCACAAGATAATGACTATTATCCACATTTTGGAGATGAGAAAAGTCAGATTTCTAATATTTGCTAAAGGCAAAACTAGAATTTGAACAGGAACTGTCAGAATTCAAAGCCAGTTCCACATGAGGGATGCCACCTCAAGTGACAATTCTGATTCCATTGGTGGTGCCCGTCTAATGCTATGCTGAAGAGAATTCTAAGGCTTCATTCAAACTCAGCAGGAATGATATCTATGATCAACTAGTGATGTCTGCACTGAGTATGGGAAGGGGAAGTGGTAGTACATTGCCATGTGGCTGCCATTTCTACTTACACTATGCTGCCTCCCTCATTTAAATATAATTTAAACTAAACTAATTCATAAAAAGACCCAGTCTAAAGGTTTATGTTGTGAATGATGTTAAAGAAGCATCTTCTTTTACGTAAATTCATAACTTAAGATGGAGAAAAGTATAGGAAAATTATTATAAGCTGCTAAAAATGACTTTACTAGAAATTTGTATGCTCAATAAGAGCATACAAATTATAAATTTTTCTTATCCATTTCTACTTACACTATGCTGCCTCCCTCATTTAAATATAATTTAAACTAAACTAATTCATGAAAAGACCCAGTCTAAAGGTTTATGTTGTGAATGATGTTAAAGAAGCATCTTCTTTTAAGTAAATTCATAACTTAAGATGGAGAAAAGTATAGGAAAATTATTATAAGCTGCTAAAAATACTTTACTAGAAATTTGTATGCTCAATAAGAGCATACAAATTATAAATTTTTCTTATTGTTACTTGTCCCTAAAAGTCTCTATTGGTCATGTTGCTCTCATTAGTGTAGCAAGTGGTTTCAGAAGTAGAACCATGGAACAATAAAGCAAAAAGAACTTAGAGATTTATGCCAGAGGATTTCAAGGTTATAACAGCCAAACTTGTCTTTGTCATTGAATAGATAAACATGAAGATGCTGTAGTTTATGAGGCAGTGCCTCACCCACTCAGCCTTTCCATCATTCTCCAAGAGAACCCTTGAAGAATCTCAGCAAAACCCTAAAGTTTTTACACAGCTCATTTCTAATTCCCCTGCTTTTTCAGACAAAGAAACTGAAGCCCAGTGAAGTGCAATTTCCTAGAAAATTTTCATCCTCGAATTAGTATTTTTCATGAAGTTAGATGTGTGATATTTGACTACAGTTATTCTTGAAATATTGCTATTTATAAACACAAAAAGTTGCCTTTTACTCAAACTCTATGTACCTCTAGACTCTCCCCACTATTTCCTAGTTCCCTTTATTCCATTTCATTCTACATGGTTGGCACTGCCTCCCATATCCTGGCAACAAGGTTCTTTCTCTGTCTCTCATTCACATGCAGCTCCTCTAAGAAGGGATATTTAAAGACTGGGGCAACAGGAACAGCATCTCAGGCCTCTTGGACCCCATGACTGCCTGAAGCTATGTTGGTATTAAAACAGGATGCCCTCACGTGAATGTGACTAGAATTACATACAAGGTGCTATTTCAAAACAAGATGTTCTGTTATTTTTATTTTCACTTATTATGCCATCTTTATGGGTTCATATAAAACAGTAAAATACTATTAGAAATTTAATTTTAGTTTTCATTCTGCCTACATATTTCATTTTGAAGAGCATTATTTTAAGTTCTTCCAGTGGAGTTGGAAGTTAAAATGAAAGTGCTTCATGCCACTGCATAAAAACCATAAAATCTACAATTTTTTAGTCATCCAGTCTCTGAGAAATGTTAAAAAATAAACACCACCAAGTACTGATTACTTTTTATGAATTGCTACTTTCCCCCACTAGAAAGCTAACACTGAGGAAATTAGTAGTTATGCCATTGACATCATCTTGGTATCATTTGTTTATTTGCTAAAGTAAATACATTTGCAGCTAGTTTAAACACCTTTTCCCACTGTCCCATGTCACTAAGTGTTGAAAGGAAAGCAAAACTTTTAAATTAAACAGTCTGCCTTTTCCCAGTTGACAAGAATAAATCATGTCAGATACTCATATTCCCTAACTCCTTGTATCTTGACCTGGATACTAATTTAGCAGATTACTAAGGTCAACATACAAAAATATCATTTCTTAAAAAAGATTGTTTTTGTACTTAGTTAGAGGTCACAACTTTACAATGAGCCTTGTCTACTAAGAAGAACTCCTTATAATTGTTTGAAAGGAGCAGGCTGCCTCTTTTCCAACATAAATATGGAAGCACTAGGATGTTTCCTTTCCCAGGTCTGTGGGCGTGCTTATGGGCTCTGGCTGACCAGCATCCCTGTGGTCAGCTTGGCATTCCACACAGAGTGACAAGACAGCTGGATTACTAACTAAGCTTCTGAAATGCTTTGGGATCAAAGTCGGCCTCACCACGAGGCAAGCGGGAGGGATTGCTTTGGACCAGACTGGAGGAGCGTTGAGGTCTATGCTCCATGAAAAAAAAAAAGAAAGAAAGAAAGAAAGAAAAAAAAAGCAGAGATTGTTTTCAGCTTCATAAGACAAATGGAAAAAATATGTCATGGTTAAGAGCAGAGAGTTTGGTGTCAGACAGGCCTGGCTGGACTTAAATTCCAGCTCTGTCTCTTACTAGCTGTGTAACCATGACAACTTATTTAACCTCCCCAAGCCTCAGTTTTCACAACTGTAAAAACAGAGCTAATAATAATACTTACCACCAAGAACTGCTGTGAAGAGCAAATGAGACAAAGTTTCTCTAGTGCTCAGCAGAGTGTCTGGTCATCTCAGAATGAGCACTCAGTAAAATCAGGCAGCATCACTGATTTAGAAATACTTCAGGTTAGCCTGATCTATAAACACCCATGGCCATCATCTCTAGAATCCCTAGTCGCTTATGGCTGCAGATGATGTCCAGACACTTCAGCCTCAGTAGATCTCCCACCCTGATCACATGTTCTATACTGTCAGGCTCTGTACTCAGGCACTAAGTGCTCCAGGGAAGTTAGAGGTGAAGTGAACCTCACCTCAACACTAGGGATATTCATTATGCTTCTAAGTAGGTTGAAGCCTAACCCCAAAGACATATTTATAATGTTGCCTTTATCAGAATAAAGTGGATTCCAAATTTTAAACAAGTGACTTCATGATGAATTGGAACAAAACCTGCTCACCAGTTAGGACTTTATGACTTCAGTAGGATCAACAGCAGCTTTGTTGTGTGGGTTAAGTCTATTCTAACAACTAGATAAAGTTCCTTAAAATATAATGGATAAATTATATTAAAGCCTGTTATTATTAGTAGAAATAAATTAGATTTATTGAGTACTAATTTTGTTCATTAAAGCAAGCACTTGACATCTATTACCTCATTTAATTTTCACATTATCATATGAGGTAGGTTCTATTGTCATACCCTAGTCACAGGTGAGAAAACTGAGGCTTACTGCATTTAAGTAACAAGCCCAAGCTTGCTTATACATCGTGTAAAAGAACCATGTTGACTTTAGAGCCCAAGATTTTGGCCCCTACACTATATTACCTGTCTCTATATGACATGGAAGGAATGGGGATTCACCCAACACCAGGACCACAAAGTAATTACATTCTTTCAAAGTAAAATCTGAACAATGTATAAAATATTATAAAGGAATTCTACTGTTCATATCATTTTAAAACTGAACACAAGTATGAATCTCCTTACTACCTCTAATTTTTATTACAGAGAATCAATAAGTCAAACCAAGATCCCAAAGGGCACAATTTCTCATCAATCATTGGATGTTAACTTTTTATTTATAAGACTCTAAGAGAGATGTCCTCTTAATCCCCAAGTTCTAATATCAGCACTGCTAATTCACCTTCCCCTGAAGCATGTAAGATTAGCTAGTGCTAGGAGAGTAAAATGCCAAGTAGGACAAACCAGCAGTTTGATGTGGTCCATCTTTTCTGAATATCTTAAAACAGGTTTTCAGGCTAAATGTTTGTCTGAACCACATGGCTTTAACCTGATTTAAGTGACAACACAGAAGTGTGTGATCTCAGTGTTTGCAAGGACTTTGCCTTCTCATCAAGCTGCAATTGGATAACTCACCCCCACAAATTTTCTGAGAAATTCTCGAGAGGCCTGGATATCTGGGTTGGACAGTTCAATGAAATTTCCCATCATACCCTCTTCAGTGGCTGGTACGTCTTGGTAGAAAAGTTTAGCTCTGGCATAGAACTGCATCTCGCCGTTGATGACTTGGCTTGTTAAGGCATATAATTTTACTGAAAATAAAATATTATTAATAGACATTAATGTTTGTATGATAGAATAAGTTCAATGTTATCATGCGTTGTATTTCCTTTTAAAAGCCCACGTGCTATGGAGGAAAGTACTGGTTTGGAGACAAAAGATCTGAGTTTGAGTTCTGGCTAAGTGACTTACTTGCTACGTAACACTGGGAAAACTTCTTAACCCCTCTGATCTTTAGGTATCTCATCTATAAATCACAATCATGGCATTTCCATGATTTAATAACTCTATAGTTTAATAAACATACAGCTTATCACTCTATTTAAAAAAAAGTTTACCAGTGTTTGCTACAGTAGAATAAAGAATGTCGTTAGTTTCATAGTGAGTTTTATCTCCAAGGTCCAAATGTTTTATGAGAATTTTCTCATTAATCTTACTTCTAATCACAAGGTAGGGGTAGCTATTTTTTCATCTCTTTTTCAGGCAACACATATCTAAGTGTGTCTTTATACCACCATTACGGAGATGGACTTGAGCTCTATCTTCTTAAAATAAAATAGTAAAAAGAGATGTAGTAGTTATTGAACAACTATCCTATACCAGGTAGTGTACTAGGCACATTCACATGAACTTTGCTATTTTATTATTTCAAAAAATGCAGGAGGTATTATTTTAGGACATTTATTTTTAGAAAAACATATGTTCCAACTCACTGAAGGGTTACTGAGAATGCATATAAGTCTCTTTTACAAATCAAAACTCACCCATGCAGATATAAAATATTTTCATTAGAACAAATGATAGAAACTGGATGCAAAGGAGGAACTTCTGATTCAAAATCATAGGTCAAATACATACAATTGTTTTACCTCCCTCCCAATACTCCCTGAGAATTTTTTTAATAGGCGAAACCCACAACAGTGAAGAAAATTAGAGGAGATCACCAATGGATTCATGATTTCAATAAATTTCTGGAAGACAAAAAGCAGATAGAACAAAGCTAAAGAATTTGCAGACTAGAATAATTGCAAGAAGAAATTACATTTCAGACTTGGAGCCAATAGGAGACAATGTAAGAATGAGAATAAAAGCCAAAAACATAAGAGAGTTAATCAAAAGCCTATCTACAGAACAACCATGTGAGGGGACAAGTGCACCCTCCAGAAAGCAACAGGCAGCACAGCTATAATCCTGGAAGAAAAAAAAGTCTCTTCTCTAAGTAAATAAATACATAAACAAACTACCTACACAGAACCAGATCAGTCAGCACTGGAATCCTGGAACACTGCTAATTTTGGCATATAGAAGATTCTAAGCACCTCACTTTCTCACACTCATCAGAGTCTGGTAAGTTCTACCTGCACATGTAAAGTTTCTTTTTATCCTTTCTACTTAGAGGACAATCAGCACTGGAATCCTGGAACACTGCTAATTTTGGCATATAGAAGATTCTAAGCACCTCACTTGCTCACACTCATCAGAGTCTGGTAAGTTCTACCTGCACATGTAAAGTTTCTTTTTATCCTTTCTACTTAGAGGACAATAATATAACAGAGAAAACCTTATCCTTTGCCTAGAATCATTTACCTTGTCCTTTATTCCTAAATGCATATAAACAATGATCTCCAAACACATGAGATTAAAATAGCACCTGCAAGAAAAAGATAATCAGAATTGACCCCAAAGGAAATAAAAAATAATTCAGGAAATGGATGAGAAGTTAAGCCAAAACACAAGAAAAAACTTATAGATCCTTGAAGAGATATGAGGACTCATAAATCCATAAATCAAAGATAAAGTGCCAATAAAATGATAATTCAAAGAATAACAAAGAATTCTTAGAAATTAAAATTTTGATTACCAAAATTTTTAAAATATAAAACAAAAGGACATAAAACAAAAAGACAGATATGAAAAACAGAAGCAAATAGACTAGACTTATAAAGACAATGCTGGAGGGCCAACATCAAGCTAATTAGGACTCCAGAAAACTAATAAAATAAAGTGAAGAAAATGATTAAAGAAATAATAGAAGAAAATCTCCCCAAACTGAAAGAGATTGTAAGATCCAACAAGTATTGTGCAGCATGGATTTTTCAGTAAGGTACATTTACACATATCCTTAAGAAACTTCAAAAAATAAAGAGTAATAAGAAGATCCTAAAGTCATTTAGAAGGGGGGAAATTGACCTTCAAAATGGGTCACCAGATTTAGCAAATAAAAATACAGGACTCACAGTTAGATTTAAATTTCACATAAACAATGAATAATTTCTTTTTTTTTTTTTTTTTGTCCTTTTTGAGACCGGCCACACCACGTTCAGCCAGTGAGCACTGTAAGCTCACCGGTCATCCCTATATAGGATCCGAACCCGCGACGGGAGCGCTGCTGCACTCCCAGCGCCACACTCTCCCGAGTGCGCCACGGGCTTGGCCCAATGAATAATTTCTTAATGTAAGTATTCCTGAAATACTGCACATTGCATGGGAAATACTTATACCAAAAATTATTTGTTGATTATGATAAATTCAAATTTAGCTGGCATTGAGTATTTTATTTGGCAATCCTATATTCAAAGGACTAGAATCAGGCTTATATCACAGATCTTATCACTGGAAAACAATGGTGCAGAGCCATTTTGGAGCTAAATTTAATACCCAGCCAAACTGTCAAGGAATATTTGAATTTATTGTTATAAATTTATTCCTCAGAAGTTTCTTGAAGCTACATTCCAGCACAACAAGGGTTAAAATCAAGAGAAGATTCATGATGAAAGATCATGTAATTAACCCAGGAATCAGGTGAAAAAAAATCCCAAAATGACAGTTCTGGAAGGAAATTAGTTTATATTACAAGAGAAAATATAGGCTTCAAAAATAACTTCAAGAAGTAGAATGACCTGGATCCCAGGCAATAGAGTAGGCAAGAAGCAAGGAGATATTAGTAATTTTCTAAGGAAGACATATTTTTAACTCAATCAGCAAAAATAAAAGACAGGTGAAATCTCCAAGCAAAATATACAGTAGTTCATGATAAATGAATGAGGTGATGGTTACAGTAACTACCCTGACCCAATCATAATACATAATATATATGTACCAAAACATCAGATTGTACCCCCAAAGCATATACAATTATGATGTGTCAATAAAATAAATAAATAATATATATGGTGGTTCAAAAATGTTATGATCAGAGCATGAAGCAAACCAAAACATGGCATATTTTTGAGCAGAAGGAATCTAAGGGAAAAATAATAATCTATTTAACCTTAACTAGGAGCATTTTTCTCCAGACAACCCCAAGATTGTAATATTGGACTGGTGTACTATTTGCCTCTGAATTGAACAACAATTACATAGTCCCAAATTTTGGTTCTAAAAGTTAAAAATTCAATAAACACCATTTATATCATTATCAATATGTTCCATCTATGGAGTTAATCAGCATTAACAACTTGAAGACACTGGAGCCAAAGTATGCACCCATAGTGAGCATAGATTTCCTGAAGAGAATACAAGAATCAGTTTCAATGTACATTGTTTTCTGGGATGAACAATGTTATACACTATACCCCTCATACATATTAACATATACATAGATGGTTATTTTAAAAAAAGAAATACTTTTTAAAAGTTTTAATAAGTACATAGCTTTTTTTTTTTTTTTACTATTTTATATACCTATCTGCTACTTATTAAGAAAATACAACATTAAAAAGAAAGCTCTCATGTTCAAAAACATTGAGAATCACCAACCTACACCAATCTCCCTTCCCTGGCACTTGGTAAAGTATTGCTTAAATAGCAGGTGGCTCATTAAATGCTTATAAATTCAACAGGGGTGACAAAAATCAGGCATCACTATCAAAATAATGACTGTTCCAAATTCTTCTGAATGTCTCAGAAAATCAGGCTAGGAAATCACAGCTCACAGAGTCTACCCAGGGTTGAATGTTGCTCTGGAATCACTGGCAAGCCACAGCCTAGTGCTCTTCTTGATCCAACCAAAGCAGCAAAGCAGCCACACTCATCATCACCTGCTTAAGTCAACTAGTTGGTACAGTCTATTAAAACCCTTAATCTGGAAATGGGCATGGTCCATTATACCAGCAACTTTTAGAACACAAGTGAATGCCAAGCTCAGCAGGCATCAGACTCAATAGGTAGGCTTTTATGGTTATGGGCTTGAGTTCTCATTCTCACCTAATTGACAGCAGCATTTCACTAAAAAAGATATATGAGGTGTCATGGCCAACCCTGGTTCTCCCCTCCTGATAGCTCCTGAAATGGTGCATGTTGCCTCAGATAAGGAGGCAGTCAGTCACCAGCCCATGCCTTTTTACCATAGAAATACATCTAGTGGCTTGTTCTCATAGAATTGCAATGTTTCTGTGAAATTTGGGGTAGCCTAAGATAGAGACTAGACACTCTATTAGTTTTTGATACAATATGATACTTATTTCTTGACCTACATTATAAGCTAAACTCCCAAGGACCTTCCAACTGCTTACTCATTACAAAAAGAAAAATAGAGTACAAGTTCATTTATTCTGAAGGAAAATAAAGGTCTCGTGAACTTTCTAGGAAATGTGAAAATCCAAAAGGGTCTGCACTAGGGCTGGCTGGTTAGCTTAGTTGGTTAGAGCACAGCCTTATAACAACAAGGTCACAGGTTCAGATCCCCGTACTGGTCAGCAGCCTCCCCACCCACCCCCCAAAAAAGAAAAAGAAAAACCAAGAGAGTATACACTGAGAGACAATTCATCCGTGACTCAGTTATTAAACACCAATACAACACTCAGGAAACAAGAAACATAAAGCCTAAATTCTCCATCATGGAGATTACAAACTAGCAAGGGGGAGTTAAGTCCTACATCACTGCATGCACAATAAACAGTTCAAACACCAATTGCCTTGGGGGTTCAGCAGATGCCTGCAAGTAGAAGCAATTAGGGAAAGATTCGAAAAAGACCTTAGCCACGATGGATGCTTTTTATTTTGGTTGGCAAAAAATAAGGAGGAAGGGAAT